TAAATATAATGAAAAGTGAATAAATTTCAACCATTAAAAGTAATAAATAGTCATGATTTTGTATAACTATTAATTATATATAAAAATTATGTGTAAGTAGATTATTATTTTTTTAAATAAATTTATTTTTACATAATTCTTAAATAATCAAATAACATTGATACCCCTTCACTTCTCACTATTTCTCTCTCTCTCTCTCTCTCTCTCTCTCTCTCTCTTTTAAAAAAGAATTTTTTTGATAACATTTGATCCATTCCTTTTCTCTATTCTACATGATGTGTTTACTTGTTGAGAATAGAAAGTGTGTGTTTGGCAAAATTTTAAAAATTATAGTCATTATGTTCTTAAACCAACTTTTTGACACCTTAAAACTAATTCTTTCTAACAATTTTAAAGGTATATCTCACATTAAACTAATATATTTAAGAAAATTAATTTTTCAAATCTAGTTTTCTCATTGAGATAATATTTTGTTTATTTTAGTAAGTATTTGAAAGTTTATTGACCAATTCGATGTAGAGGGAATTAATTACAGTCAGAAAAAAAAATATTTTAATCTCATAAAAAAAAAAAAGAAAAAAAAAAGCTTTTTCCTCCCTTTTTTTTTTTAATTAAATAGAATTATTTTTTTTTTTCATTTCCCTCGTCCTTTCAAACCAAACAAATTATAAAAGTATATTTAGTATATACTTTAAAAAGGGAGGACCTTCCCTTTTTTTTTTCTTTCTTTTTCTTTACTTTGGAACTTTATGGGGAGGGGAGATTAGTAGTGCTTGGGTATAGAACCCAAGACTTCATGTCCAAGCACCTTCCCTTAAGGAAATGATTATTAGGTCACTTAGTGCTAAAAAGAAGTTTTGAGAAAAAAAAAAAATTGGAAAGGAGGGGAGGGCTTTTCTTTTAAGTTTTGCTTTAAATATTTTTATATATTTAATATTATCCAAACAGGGAAAATTGAGGGAGGAAGTGAAGGAAAATAAAGGATATTAGCTTTCATCCCCTTGCCTTTTTTTTTTTTTAAATCTCAAATCAAATAAATTCTAAAAAAATAACTATTATCATAAAATGACCAATTAGTTTTAAATGAATTTTTTTTACTTTCTAAATAAATTTAATCTCTCAAAATTTTTAAGACTAATTGAGGATTCAAAGCCCAAGTTTTAAATGAATTTTAAAACTTT